CATTTATGAGGAGTTCTTTATGTGTTACTGGCCCACTTCACATTGGACTGAGTGTAATGTGGCACGTTCCCTAAAATGAGTTTGACAGTGAAGCTTTCTTTTAGTGTACTAATGCAGTTTTGCATGTTATTCAACAATACAGATACCATAACCTGCTTAGCAGGAGGAACAGATGTATTGGCAGAACCGACTGTACACACAAAAGCATATCCATCCCCTCAGAGGATTTAAAGCACTGGTCATATTCTTATATTCTCATATATAACCATGTTTCCCTGCCGAGTCTGCTTAATGGAGCAGAAATATGCCGACTTACAGCTGCCATCTGTGGATAAAACAAAGAAACATATTATTCGTTTTATAAAGCTGTTGAGGGGGATAAATCTCAGCAGCTACTGGAGCTTCATTAACTGGTGGTTAACTGAATCAGGGACTCACAGCAGGAACTGGAGGTTTTCTGGTTTAGACCTTGTGTGGGTCACAGGGTGGTTGGACCTCTGTGTTCAGTTGACCTTCTTCTAGCCATAGCCATTATGTTCTTGAACAGGGCAGTCAGCTCCAAGCTGCTCCATGGATGTTGCCAAGCTGCACCATGGATGTTGCATAAAGATGATGTTCTGATGTTTTCTGTTTATGAATTTTACAACGTGACATTGAGTTTGAGAGAAGTTTATTTCATTTTACGTAAAATTATTTTGTTTTATATCAATTGCATCTATGTAGTGTTATTGTGGAAACATATATTTGAAGAAACAGATATATTTAAGATGGAATTTTAATAACTAACTATACAGACACTATATATATATATATATATATATATATAGTATTTTTATATGCTGTGTTAATTATAAACTTCTGTATTATTATATTTATAATATATTTAACATTTATTATATTTAAGATTTAAAAACACATATTTGCACTGAGTGTGGACTCAAATGCTTGAGTCTTCTAGGTGGATAACTTGCATAAATTCAGCATGGAAGCAGCTCAATTTATTGGTCAACTTACAATAAATTCAACCATAACAGAAAAAAGCATTGAGGCTGTAATGGCAAATGTGCCTAAGCATGTAATGGATGTTTTTCCTGTTTTCCAGCTTTCAAAAGCAAGTGGAGCTTCTATCCCTCTTTGGTAACACTTGCACCTGAAGCCAACAACAATTTAGTGAATTGTTTACTGTTCCAGATAAAGATGAAGTCAGCAAGCACTACTACATGACCAATAAGTGCACCAGAATGTAAACTAGAATGATTTATTGATGAGTTGATTATTATATTTAGAATTATTACTTTGTAGAGAGGTTGGCAAATAAGACGATATAGAGACTAACGCTATTAGCATTAATGCTTACGGCCACAAAACGAATGTTTTTACCCATATTTAAAAAAAAAAATAAGCTTTGTTTGATTCTACCTGTAATTCTGTGTAAATGTAGACATTTGTGTGAGTGCTGTGCACAATAGTGCAGTATTTCTGATCAGCCAATAAAGTAAGCTAACTTTCAAGCAGCATAGCTAGCCAAATTAGATGCTTTAGAGTAAAATAAAATGACCAAAAAAAACAGTACATTGTTAATTGTGGTCATTATACCAGTTCCAGCTGTCTATGAGCAGGTGGGAGATGAATTAGAACTAGAACTGTACGTTCAGTTGGGTCACTTCTTGTTCTTGTCTTCACTTTGTAAAGTGAATGGTTCTTCAGTAAACTTTGCAATGAAATGTGTGGCTAGTGCACATTTATAATTATATGACAAGAATTAACCACAAAAAGTTGTGAAGCTATTAACCTGGGAAGATCAGTTTAGAAAAGCTTTCTATTTTTCTGATATCTTGGTTAAATTTGTCTTAGGATTAGTGCAAAATCCTCTTGTATCAGTGCTACTGTGATATCTACTTGAAAGAAAGTTCAAAATTCATAATACAGCACGCAGTGTTTTAAATGGGGGTGCTGAAATTTTAAGCAGCATATATGTGACGTGAACAATTACGTCATGCAAAATTGACTTTTTTCCATTTGATTTTCTTTTGATAATTCACATCAAACAGAATGTGTCATACTGCACTATAATGAGGTGAGAGACAATATATATGTATAACTTGCACATCATACTGCTGATCCACATCCTCTCTCTGCTCTTTCATTTGTGATTCTTGACTTTATGCAAATAAACTAAGCAGCAACCATTCAGATATGTGATACCATAACCAGCTGTGTCATCTTCGCAGTCACACAGTGGAGCACACACCAAACAGGAGATACAGCGCTTGATAAAAACTTCATTACGTCATTACAAATACATTTACAAGACTTTTTTTTAGTTTAAAGACATTATTAGGCTGCTTTGGGGACTCAGTGAATTGGCCTCTATCTTCGCATACAGTGTTGCTCTTTGCATCTCAACCTGTGTGTGTTTTATTAACGTGCCCCAAAGCGCTCTTTTCACTGTAATGAAAATGCAGTGTTAACAGTGCACAGCACTGCCGATTTTAAAAATATACAAATAAAAATAGAAAAGTACAAACTTCACTCTGAAACAAGCACACATGAGCCATGCTACACTCATATTATTAAAAAGTTCAGATTTCTGTATAATTATAGGTGTTTTTTACAGTTGCAGTCCTGAAATCTGGGGTACTGCAGCAACCCCAACTTCACATGTCTCTGCGGTCACCTGTAAATAGTGAAATAGTGTAGATAAAGTTTATCTAGAGGCCAAAATCAAAGAACAGACACTCTCTCTTTGCAACAGTTAGCTTAGCTATAGTTTTCTAGCTTCCTACACTGCTATGTCCTAGGAAGCAAGCTAACGTTGCTAATTGTAACTAAGGGACAAAAGAAAATGACGCCAGTATGAATTCAGAGTTAAATGGATAACTAGCTAGTTAAAGTAGTCTGCCTGGGTGTAGCCTGCAGCTAGTGTAAACGTAGCTTAGCTTAGCTGTTGTGGCTTGTGAGGTTAAGTAATTAGCAAATACATTAGCATTAAATAAGGATAAAATAGTAGATCATTTATACACTGGGAGTAAACTTGCTTTACATGTAACTAAAGAACTAAGAAATATTTTGTACTATCAGCACTTAGAATCTGGGGATATTTTGTGAAGTACAGTTATTGTTATGATTAGATTCATGTCCTGCTATTGTAGCTTCCCATCTTAGATTGGTAGCAATCCCCCACCATCAGAGAGTTGCTGTCTGATTAAACAGAGATGAAAGTGATCCTAAAGCTTTATGCTGGCTTTATTTTTAAGTTGCTTCTCAAATCGCAGATTAAAATTCTTTGACACTGGCTAAAAGACAAATGTCCTTGCAGTCACAAAAATGTCAGATCAAGCAGAGGAACTTCATGTACGTAGCCCAGTGTTCATTATTTGAATGTAAATTCCATCAAAACAGAAAGGTTGCTTTTGGACAAGTTAACTTGAAATATATGTTACAGCGTCCTTATTTTATCTGGCGGCCAGTGAATAATTTAGTTAGGAGTTTCAGTAAGTTATTCAAACCATAAGTGGAACTTATATGGACTATATGGATTATATGGATAAGATGTTGTGTGACATTTTTGGTCAGAAGACTCATAAATCCCTCTGAATATTGCTGCATAAAGTCAAGAATAATTGCTTTTCCTAGAAGTCGTAGTTGTAACCAGTGATAACAAACGGGATGTAATTTTATATGCATTATTTTTAACTCGCGGCTCATTGAAACAAGTGGAGAAGTTGTGTGGAAAGTGCAGATACTAAACTTTCAATCCATACCAAATTGTGTTTGTAAGTAGAAGAGGAGATACTTATTATGATTTAATATCATGAAAAGTTATTATTTTGTCTTGTTTTGCAGAAAGAAAACATATCCTTTACATTTTGTATTTTTTTTCACATTTTTTAAAATTGAAACAAACAGGAAAGTCAGAAGTGCAGACACAGAGCTGTCAATAAGATGTAATTACAAAATATATGAATGATATAGCAAAACAAAAAAGATTATTTATATATATATATATATATATATATATATATATATTTTGCCACCGTTCTTCTTTTTTTTGTTGTCGACTCTTTCGACCAAGGACAACATTTCCCTTTTCTACTAGAAAGACAAAAAGTCTCACACACTAATTTACTGCAAACTTTTGTCGGGTATAAAATTTCTTTGCTAGCGTAAAATTTTGGCTCCTCTCCTTTGCTGCACTGTTTGAGCAGCTGTTTGTTTTGTGTGTCAACTTGTACTTTTCATTGCCTGCATGACCCTCTACATCTAATCCAACAACTCATAGCGGTCCGATGAGTAAGTACCTCCAGGGATGAGTCAGAGGAACACAGTGGACGGTGTTTTATTTCATTTAAAGGTACATTCAGGATTGCGGGGTGGCATTGTAGTATTTTCCTGCTTTGGTTTTGTGGAGTCTCAAAAACCGACACGTTGAGTTCCAAAAGGATGCTGTGTAAAAGTCTGAGACCACCATTCATTTATTTATTTAATTTCTAATCAAAACAGCCATGAAGTTCAAGGTTTTCATTTTTCAGGAGACATTTCCGAAGAGATTATATGTAAGATCATGCATATCATTCATGCATGAGGAAGGAGAATGTCAAAGGAAAATAAGTGGGAAAAAAAGGAGTTTCAAAACTGGAGTTTAAAAAGTCCAGACCTCAACATCACTGAATGCATTTGAGATGTGTTTTGTTTTTCTTAATGCTAATTGTGACTAGAGATTAAATCAATTAGTGGTCTCTGACTTTTGGTCTGTACTGTACGTTCTTGGACAGTATGTGAACCACTTTCAGTGATCAAAACTAGGCATCTGGGTGCAGCCTATTAGAGTAAAGTGCGTAGCGAGGGGGCAAGGCTTCTGCTATGGACACATGATCTCACACTCAAATGACTGGGCTTTATTTGTTTAGTTGTGATTTTCGGGGTTTATTTTGTTAGAGGTTGGCTCTTTATGCTCTGAAAAAGTTATATATATCCACTGTTACACATCTATCTCACAGGCCCAGATTACATCAAGCAAAAACTCAGCGAGCATGTGGAGGAGATTAACGAGGCCCCACCACAGGAAGAAAAGAAAAAAGAGAAATCATCAACCGGAAGCCCCTTTTATCGACGTGGCACAACTCCGTCCCACTCGCCTGCCCAAAGCCCCACCCCATCTCCACCAACCTCACCAAAAAAGAAGAGTCAGCAGGTCAACAGCAGTGTCACTCGCAAGATAAGCAAAGACAACACTACTATAGGTCGTAAAATAAGCAAAGAAGAAAGGGCCTTCATTGTGGCAGAGATAGCCAAAGTACCTGCTCTACCAGCACCACCAGCACCAGCACCAATCAAACTGCAAGAAGTTCCCCCACCAAAGCCCCCCAAAGTTAATGAACCAGCGCCCAATCCCGTTAGCACAGGCAATGGGCAGCTGCACAGTGCTTACCACAGCTACTTGGTGAAGGCAACTGTAAAGGTTCCTCCACCAGAGGAACCAGAGGATGATGAGCCAGAGATGACCCAGTCCAGTCTGGCCAGGATGCCTCCATCCCCACCTAAACTGTTCAGGACACCAAGCCCCAAACCAGAGCCCAAGCTCAGGAAACAGGAATCTATAAAGCCAAAGAGCCTTGCAGAAACCAAGAAAGCTAGCATGGAACTCGCCAATGAGGTATTAGAAGAAGAAACGGTAAGCTGCTCTCCTCCTCCTTCTCTGCTAGCCTATCCATGCCCACAAATGTGTTCTTTCATAGCAACTGCTATTTATACATACAAAATAAAAAAATCTGAATGTAGGTATTGTGATATAAACTGAATCATGTTCTACAGTTTCTCATTAGGTTGAATGAATAACTCACTCTAAATGTAGGCATTGTGATATAAACTGAGTTGTGTTCTACAGTTTCTCATTAGGTTGAATGAATAACTCTCTCTAAATGTAGGTATTGTGATATAAACTGAGTCGTGTTCTACACTCAGAATTTTGCTATTAGTGTATTAAATTAAACCCTTAACCAGGCCACAGAAAGCCATAGTGGATCACATGTGGCTTGAAGTTTACACAGAGAAATGCAGTTAGTCTAAAATCTTAAAGATAAACACACAGGTACTAACTGTTACCGCTGCTAATGCTACTAGTCTGGTCTGTTTTTACACCTCATACCTTTAAGCTGGAAATAAGTGAGTTTGTGCAGAGTTAGCTGATATTGAAGGTTTTCATCCATCCAAGTGTAAAATTTCTATGTAGTATAGCTGTGCTTTGTACTGTACCTTTATCTTTGTATGCAATGCTACACCGCAGTGGCCCTAAAGCTTTTTGCGCATAGCTGCAGCTGTAACAACAGCTAAAAAACAGCTAAAAAAATGCATTTGTGGGTGGAGCATGCATAGGTGAGTTGGTTAGTTACTTTTGGTATAATTGTAATTTGAAAGGTTTGTCTAATAACCCACCTAAATCTACATTCCAGGGTCCTAATTCAGTTTTAGTTGCCATGGTAATGCTTTTGAATATTGGATTGGCAATCATTTTTGTTCACTTCTTGACATGATGGAGTGGCATCTCAGGTAAGCACTGATTTTTTTTTTTTACCATGTGTTTATTTCATGCTCTATAGTGTTTCTATTTATAATTATATATTGTATTATGATTATATACCAATCAGGCATAACATTATGACCCTCTCCTTGTTTCTACGCTCATTGTCCATTTTATCAGCTCCACTTACTCTATAGGTGCACTGTGTAGTTCTACAATTACAGACTGTAGTCCATCTGTTTCTCTGCATACTTTGTTAGCCCCCTTTTACCCTGTTCTTCAGTGGTCAGGACCCCCATGGACCCTCACAAAGCAGCACTGCAGTAACACTGACATGGTGCTGGTGTGTTAGTATGTGTTGTGCTGGCACGAGTGCATCAGACACAGCAGTGCTGCTGGAGTTTTTAAACACTGTGTCCACTCACTGTCCACTCTATTAGACACTCCTACCTTGTCAGTCCACCTTGTAGATATAAAGTCAGAAACAATAGCTCATCTACTGCTGCACAGTTTGTGTTGGTCATCCTCTGGTCCTTCATCAGTGGTCACAGGATGTTGTTGGCTGGATATTTTTGGTTGGTGGTCTATTCTCAGTCCAGCAGTGGCACTGATGTGTTTAAAAACTCCAGCAGCACTGCTGTGTCTGATCCACTCAGACCAGCACAACACTCACTAACACACCACCACCACATCAGTGTTACTGCAGTGCTGAGAATGATTCACCACCCAAATAGTACCTGCTCTGTGAAGGTCCATGGGGGTCCTGACCACTGAAGAACAGGGTAAAAGGGGGCTAACAAAGTATGCAGAGAAATAGATGGACTACAGTCTGTAATTGTAGAACTACAAAGTGCACCTATATACTAAGTGGAGCTGATAAAATGGACAATGAGCGTAGAAACAAGGAGATGGTCATAATGTTATGCCTGGTCGGTGTATACAGTGCTGTGCAAAAGTCTTATGTGTATGAGAAAATGATATCTATGCAGTAAGCATTTGTTTCACATAAGAAAAAATACAAATAAACAAACAATCCAGTGTAATTGTTTCATATGTATCTTGACCATTTCCTGTCGTCTCCAAAAGAAAGTCCAGTATTTACATTTACCATCCAATACCTTGTATATCTAATCAATTAAATTAAATAAGGTCCTAGAAGTGAACATATGCAAAGCTGATGGTTGGAGTGTAGCGAGAAGTCAGGAACCAAACCTGTGTTCTTATACGTATTCTTATAACCTACATATTCATAACTTTACCATGCGTTCTTGTTTTACTGTATATGTGGTTATTTGGAGTTGTTCTAATAATAAAGGTTGTTTTACAGAAGTGGTTCAAAGCACTTAATGGGAAACAAAATCACTTAGACTGAACAACTGAACTATTTTAAATAATCATTTGATCTATTCAATGAAAATTATGTTTATATGCTGTTATATATTGTGATTTGCATGTCTCCAAGCCTTAACCAAGACTAATATGCCAATTCCTTTGAAGATTAGGTGGAAATATGTCGCTCCAAAAATGTTGCTTAAGAAAATGTTTAAAAACTGAAAAATAATTATCATGTCACTACCAAAACATGCAAAAATCTCTCTGGACTAAATCCATATGTGGCCACACTGCTAAATATGCAAACTTTAAGAAATAATAAAACATTTCCTCCAAATTCCTGTCAACAAAAAGAAAAAAACTTTATAATTGAAATCTTTAATTCTTTTTGTTTAAATTACTGATCCTCTGTAAGGTTTCAGTATTGACAACTTCAAACAGAAATTTGAAAGTTGGTAAAATTCTGAAAGCACCGCTGATCATTCCATGTTGTTTTGATTTTCTAAAGTCTGAAATTAAGTTAGCACATTCTCTACAGGCAACACACTTATGGACGTTTTAATGGACAATTACTGTTTATTTGCTGAATTAAAAATAAAACATAAAATGTGGCCTGTGAAAATGTTATGGCACATTTTATATTGTATGTTTTATTGTTTTCCAGTATATTAAACTTAGCAAATAAACATAAATTGTGCACAAAAAATTGCAGGAAAGAAATAAATGTGCATTTTTAAATGTGTTCCCTTTGGGATGTGTTAACTTACTTTCTATCAGAAAATCAGCATGACTGTTCAAACTTACTGATACGACTGTATCTTTATAAGCTACTTGCTTCATGGAACTAAGTTGGAACTTGAATAAATTCAACATTTAAGTTCTTTGAGTGAAGATAAATAGTTCTGAACAATCTTCATGTCTGAGCCTTTTGCACAGAACTGTATGTTTGAGTTTTAACTCTAGGTTTACAGAATGTATTAACACTGTAACTGCTTTGATTCCTCAGTAGCGCAGTGTCACTGGCCTTTAAGAAAACAAAGTGACACCAAGCAGAGTCTTGGCAGTGGCAGCAGTAAAATCAACGTATGGAAGAAGTTTGAGATATGCAGCACGTTTTTGGAGGAAGACCAGCCCTCAGTAAAGAAGTGTGGCTCTTTTAGTCATGTAAAGGACTAAGAAGAAACCACAGGTGAATAAAAAAACAGAAGATTTGTAAGAGAAAGTAAAGTAAAGAGTGCTTATCCAAGTCATTGCCTGTGAAGAGTGGAGCCTCTCTGTGTGCAGAGACTTTACTGAAAATGTTGGGAGATGCTCTTTAAACGTGACGGGCACAAACAGCTGCCTCGCTCTTTTGCCGTGTGACGTGTAAGTGGGGAGATGTGCACTCGGTGCCAGAGGAATTTGTTCAGGGAACTTTGTTGCGCTCCAGCAATCACGCCACACCGGCCAGAGGAAACCAAACACACACGACGGTGTCACTCTCCGCTCTTATAGCGTTACTGACCCTCTGCTGCTTCTTCCATCCTCTCCTGCGTTCTTTTAACGAGACTTGATTTAACACGCCCTGTGCATGGTACCATTTATTACTGATGAAATGTTTTTGTTTTGTTTTCTTTTGTGTGTTGTTTCTCTTCATGTTAGCTTTTATCCTTCAGCGTTCAGCCGTAGAGGTTATTTGAATTAAAACATATATGCTGAAAAAAGTACACTATTGTTCAAAAGTTTGGAATCAAAACAATTTTTCTGATTTTAAATACGAACATACACTGTTAACAATGAAAGCCAGCTCTGCCTAAAATGATAAGGTTACTGATTACACTGCTTTTCTTGAGCCAGCTCAACTTGAGGACACTAGTTGAGTTCAACTGACTCAGATTTTGAGTCAAATGTTCTCCTAACTCTCATTTTTTTTGGTAATGCATCTCTGTAGTAAACAATATCGAATGCATGTTTTTACTCATTTTCCCCAGCAGCGGTCTTTCTATCAGACAATTCCCATTTTCTCCTCTGGGGCTCCGACTTATGGAGGGGATGGCACTGTGGTTCAAACTCACAGCCTCCTTAAAGTAGTTTGATTTCTGTGTTTAATACATTGTAAAAGTTATTTGTATACATATATAAAGTACATTTTAAAAATATAAAAGTATATTAAAGTAAACTTTCCACATTTGCTAGATTTCCACAACAAGCAGAATGTGAGTTGGGTATGCTGGATTGAGCCAAATAACTGTAAATAAAAGAGAGCAGTAAATGCATTCATTGAGACACATCATGGGGAAAAGTTCTTCTAACTTTGTGCTGGGGCAGCACTGAGTAGTGTTTGCTTATTTCATAGCATATGTTAATTGCAAATATGTATATGACAGCTAATCATCAGCTAAAATTGTATGACTGTAACAGCCCTAAAAGTTATGCAATAGCATGTGGTGCTACTGGCTAATAATTCACCCCAGCATCAGGAGGTTGTGAGTTTGAACTCCAGTGATCCTATAGCTGTCCATATCTGGAAGCTCAAGAGAAGAAAATCCCTTGTGGAATTGTGTAATGAAAAGAGTGGCAGCCAGTGGGGAGTAAAAACAAATTCTGCATCGTTTGCTTAACCAAGAAACTAGAAATGAGAGTTTTGACTAAACTAAAAGCTGGGTGAATTCTGGTGTCCTCAAGTTGAGTTAACTGAAGAAAAGCAGTGTAATCAGCTACCTTATCATTTTAAATTGAGCTTCTCATTTTTTACAGTGTAGCGATAACACTTTACTGTTGGGCAGTGTTCATAAGGCAACACAGCACCTACATGAACCTACATAAACGTTTATACAGGCTTATTCCAGCAATCCTGTGTAGGAGTCATGTAGCCTAACGAATGTTGCCCTTCAGTAAAGTGTTACCATAATAACTTATACAGTGTAGATTTGAATATTACAAACTGTTCACCGAAAGGTATTTTTAGATGCTTTATGCATTATTTCAAGAATTCTGTGAGGTAAATGATAACTAATATACTGTAAATGATCTTATTACATTATTTTCTGTTGTTATCTGCCTTGAGATTTGATCTCCACTTTTGAAATATGATGCATCCTGGATATTCATTTTATTATGACGTAATGCCTTATGTTCTTCAACGTTCTTAGCCATTGTAGAATCTTCTACAGCATTTAGCTGCAACAAAATTGGTTTATATTATTGACAACAGTATTGCTTCCAAGCTTTTGAACTGTACTGCATCTGATTTAAATGTGTTCATCATTTCCACATGAATAAAATCTGTTATATCCACATAACTACTGTCTTACTTTTGGCAGTAATTGTGCTGATGTAATAAATTTTATTGACGTAGAACTGATATACACATTCTGCACCACCTTTTCAGCAAATTACTGTCAGTAGTCTATTTTAGAATTATTTTCAAAGAATATGTTTTATGAGATGTGCAATAAGCTTTATTTAAAACAAAAAAAAGCATTATATATCGAACCACTGAGAAGCTTTTTAGCCCCCAAAAAATCATGTTGTTCTGTATTCAATTAGAAATGAAAACGAATATGACTGAAAGAGATGAAGCCTGCGGTGATTAAGATATGTGATTACTTAGTGTAGGGGAGAGCGGAGCACAAAATGAAACATTTTGTTTTTTGCTAAATAATTTTAAAAGTATTTGAACAAGATGAATAATAGTATTCATGTGACAACTTCATGCTCGTAGGTGGGGTTAACTGTAACAGACTGAGGGGTGAGCTGTAATAGTCGCTGAGTCTGGTAAACTGATGCAAAACAATTTATTCAGAATTTGATTGATTTGTTCCAACCTAAATACATAAAAATGTCTCCATTAATATAAATATGATTACTGAAGAGAGGCTGTGCTAAATGTGGCAAATTAATTTTTGACAATATAGTAGAACAGCAAAATATCGGCATGATAAAATTTAAATAGATTTATTTACATGCTATCTATAGCACATTTTTATGAGTCGTAATAACTTCCAAAAATGAACTATTCTGAATGTATAAAGGGGGATATTGGTTTCTCTGATTGTTCACTTTGGGGGTCTCAAGGTCAATTTATGCTTCTGCATGCCGGACAGCCACGTACCCTACACCGTAGCCTGATGCGCACCTCCCCAGAAATGTAACTACATGTCACTGTGACACAGACCGCAACAAGCATGATTGGTCCACATGGTAGCAACGCATTTCCTCCTACACATTTGGCTACACACTACGCTTCTCAGTCTTCACCTCCATTTTTTTAATTCAGGATGAACATGCATCAAGTTGAGGAGAGATATCCTAAGTATAGAAAATAAAAACTTATAATAGCGACTATGACTGTTAAGTCTGATTGATGTTGGAGTGACAGGAAGCCGAAATCAAACCTGTTCTGTGGTGTTCTAAGCAGTAGCCTGCTAGGCTAAGCTAACGCAAGCGTACTGAGCCTCCCACCGCAGTACATCGGTTCCAGCTAACAGATGTTTGAAAAAGTGTCTGAGAGCACAAATTCAAATGTCTGCTGATGAAGTGACAGGAAGATGAAAAATGGTGCAATTGCAGAGCAACACTGACACCAACGCACAAGTATACATACTTACAACGGCGTAGGCCATTTACATGGCTATGGTGTAGACTCTGCTTTGATTCAATGCAGAAGCATATATCAGCTTTTAGTTGTAACAGTATGTTAAATTAACCCTGCCGTGTGGAGGCCTGCCTAGCTCTCACTGTGACCTGTTTATTTGCCTCTAAATGGTGCTGTATTACAGCCACCGAGAGGGAGATTAAAATAATATAAGAGTGAATTCTTTGAACTCAGTAATCAAAACTCTCATGATGCAAAAAGTTACTTTTATGGTATATAAATAGTTTTCAGGGTGAATCTGGAGAAATATCTTTCTGATGTGAAAATTTACAGATGACGTTGCTATGGGAACAGGAGAAGCATGTTCTACTGGAACAACATAAAATATCTGTGCTACATTTTACCCCACATTAGTTTGTGCCCTGCTCTCCCCAGTAATATTTAGTGGTAATAATAATGATTGTCTACCCCCAATGGAACTTAATCTGACACCTATTATGTTTACTTAATTCTAAGAGAAGACATCGTCTATGTGAATTGTTATGAGAAGGCAGCGTATAGTCCATTGTGCATGCGAGTTTATTGATATTGTGTGCATTGAAAGCATTAGTAATTGAGTAGTCATTTCTGAAGGGGGCTGGACAGAAAACTGGACCGTGGGGGCCTGAGCTTGCTTGCATGTTGGAGATACTGGATATCCAAAGATGTGGATGTTTTTGTGTTGAATTAATTCAGGTAGTGCCACGAGGAAAGAAAGATGTGGTACCTTGGACAAGGGGTGTGTTGCCTTTAAAGAGTCTTTAACTACTGTTTACCTCAGAAGAACATGAAAAAAGCCAAAAAAAAGCAAAAAAGAAAGAATTCTTGTCTTAATCCCCTACTATGGGAACTCTGACTGTTGAAATATTTTGGAAATTGAATTTTTAATGTGCCGCTACATTGCTTCATTGTTTTATTTCGTTGTTTGCTGGCACAGAGTGGCGATTTTACTGTTATTTTATGTATTATAATATTAACATTTTATCACTTCAAAAAAGACTTATTTATTCTACAATAAGTAGTCGTTTGTATTGTTTTAAGCATTTGCTCAAAGAAAAAGGGCTTCAAACAAGTAAGATTTTCATACATAGGCTATCACATATATCACATTTATATTTCATTACTAATTAGCACAGCTTATTGAAAATCTACTATGTAACACCTTAAATATTAATCCAAGTACAATAATTCATGCCAAAAGATTCTCTTTCTCGCTTAAGATTTGAAAAGTTGAACTTAGCCTCTACTTTTGAGAAATTAAGGAAAAATATGGAAATTAAGGCAAGATAAACAGATGTCAGAAACTGTATGAAAATGTTGCTAGCCTAATTTGGGAGGCATTGCTAGACCTGAATGTACAAGAAAAGTGCAAAAAAAAGAGTAAAAGGTGCACAAACTAATAATTACAAAAAAAGAAACTACAGAGGCAGCAGAGTGTGCAAAGATGTGTGTCTAGCCAAGTAGAAATTACAGATAGGGCATTAAAAGGGGATTTTTCAAATGTTCTACATAATTCAGATGTAAACAAAGACATTCAGAGTGGTTTGATGTGAAATGGTTTATTGTAGAGATTTCTTTACAGTGGTGGTGACAGGAACCAGGGGTCACGATGTCTACAACACAGATATAGCCATTTTATTTACTATCCAAATCCACCAGTGAACCTACTTGTGTCTTCTGACTTTTCACATGTAATGTTGATGATGGTAAAATAGTGAAAAATCAGAAAAAGTTTTCTTTGGGTTGTTTAGCCTCACAACGCCCTCCATGTACCCCTCCATGAACTAATTTTAAAAATACATTTTAGCCAAAAACGTTTTCAAAACTATCATAAAACATATCATAACTTTCTGTGAGGGAGCTTTTAGAGGTGGACGTCTGGTTCCTGTCACCACCACTGTGAACAATTCTGACATGGCAAGTTTCTCTAGAACGGAACATTTCACACCAAACCACTCTGAATGACTGTTTATATCTTAATCATTTAATTATGCAGAACTTTTTGAAAAGTTGGTGGAATTCTCCTTTAATGAAAGTCAATAGCAGCCAAAACATGATTAAAGTCATGTTAGCACTGAAAGGCTTGTTAGCAGGCCTGTAGATGAGGACAGAGGTTTTCAATCTTGGGGTCAAAATGAGTTTACAAGAATAATCATATCAGATTAGGATATTTATATCCTGAACGATCATAAATATGTATAATTTTGCAGAGGCATTTTTAGAAAACAAAGGTTATTTTGCTGTTTCTAACCTAAAGAAACAATGAACTTATGTTAGCCATTGTCGCCATTTTCATTTTCCCTATATTTTCTTATATTTTGTGAATATGTGTTACGGCAGTGCACTGCATGCAGCCACTTTTAATGTACTTTCTGGTTGATTTTTTTTTCAGTTGAGATATTAACTGATAAAAGGGCAGAATTATTTTTCTAAAAACACCTGCTGCACAAAGAATACATTTATAAATAATAAAGATTTTATTCTGTTTGTACAAGATTTTACAGAGCACAGTCCACAATCTGAGGTGATATTTTTCTAAAGTTTTGCACATTATTTATTGGTGACTACTTAATAATCACATAAGTTCAACAAAAAAATTGATTTACACAGTGAAGAACCTGCAAAGTTTCTTTTAAACTTTTCACCATAAAAAAGAAGAAATTATAAGTTTTTTGAGCATTTTGAGCTCATTAAGGCCCCAGTGACTTCTGTACTCTGGAGATGTTTTCCTGTGTATAACAATAAATATGTTATACCCCACACTTTCTCTCCTTCTCTGTCATTTTTGTCATGTTTATTTGATCACATTTACTGCATAACTGGTTCTAGAACAGAACCCAAGATGTATTTTCAAACTATTAATCCATTAGCAGTTACGGTTTCGTTTATCAGAGCAGCTTTGCCATATTCTCATCAGGCTGAAGTTGCATTCTGAAATACAGATTTTCAGTAGTGGAACTGAAAATTCCTACTTAAGTACTGCTAAGTGGGGAACCGTGACTGTTAGCTAGGCATTCAGTTTGGGGCTATAAATATCAAAACTCATAATGCTAACTTCTGCTAGCACCCATATGGAATTTCTCATAGTATGTTAGCACTAAGCTAATGCTGGTGCACATTAACTGTCGCCACTGTTTTCCATTCCTAACAACTAACTGAAACTTGCTTAGACTGCAGCTCGTATTCACCATCAGTGACATATCTAGGACCTCCAAAAGGTCTAGAGTGCAATTTTAAGGTAAAACAAAGCATGATTGGTTAATTGCTCTTCCTAATTATGTTGGCAGTGAATCTAATTTGTAAGGCCTTCAGTCCAGCTCCTGAAGTCCTAACCGATAGGAGAGCCCACTTAGCTGTATCTGTCTAGATACCACAGAGAGAAAATCCTAACTGGACAGTTTTATTAGTAATGTAATATTTGCCTTACAGAAAGGAAGTGTAATGCTGAAAGTTTTGGGTTTATTGGCTAAGCAAGTCTTTTAATTTACATTGAATATTAGCTTGCATTAGCTAAATTAGGTAGCAAACATACACTCACAATAGAGCATATAAGCAACAGACTTCAGCAGTTTTATGAGGAGTAAAACTGCTGTTATTTAATTACACTATGATACCATATACTTAATTACAAACCTCTATTCCGAAAAAGTCAAAACAGCATGTGAAATGCTTAAAAAAATTGTTTTCTGTATAACTTGAGCTCAGCAGCTGTTCTTTACATTGTGGGAAACTTCAAGATGATTGGCCCAATAGAAGTGCTCCAGAATTGCTTCGAATAAAATCTCTTCATATTCACATACAATGAAAGCAAAGAATGTTTTTGTTTGTTGTTTTTCTTTGGACAGCGACAAAGTTTTGTTTGACCATGATATTTGATGCTATACCTAAACTTTTTTTTTGTAAATATATGCCTTTGTGTACAATTTTTGGCCTTGTGCTTTACACAGAGACATCCAGATTCCCTGAATGTTTTGATGTTAATTTGCACTTTATAGGATGAAACACCTAAAATTCTTGCACTCATTGAGGAATGTTGTTCTTAAACTGATGGACCATTTGCTGATGCATGTTAGGCAAAGTGGAGACCATCGACCCATCCATGCTCTTCAGGGATGAGGCCTCTCCTGGATCTTCATTTTATACACAAGCATGATTGCATTGTCTGTTTTACATTTCAACATTTCTACCTGTCTCAACCTTTTCAGAAAGTGTTGCAGGCATGAGTTCCAGGATGAACAAGGTGCGAAATACAGGGAGTCTGGGACCCTCTAATTAACCTCCTGGAACCCCTGAATGTCTCAAAATCAAAACTCTGGGGGGGTCCCTGAAAATAAACGTATTACGTTGCGCTGTCTATTGGGAAAAATAGACGCTCAAATACAGATTCAGGGAGAGGTCATGGTTCAGCAAGCTTCTGTCTTTGGTATGTTTATTAGAGATGCAGGACCGGTCTGCCTCAGGGTGGCGCTGTAGCAAACTGGTTCACCCTGTGGGTCCTTTATAGCCTAGCGACTGTAACTATGCACTGGAGTATCTCTGAAATACTGTACAATATGCTGTTGCATATTTGTAAATCTGAAAACTTGCCCAGTTTCACGAGACCTTTGGAGAGACTGAAACTCATTTCCCAAAACGAAGACAAAAGAGATGTGTAAGATCTCTGTGTGTGGAAGACTGCATTACCAAACTAGAAAAGAGCCATTCCAAAAGCCCACCAATGCTGGAGTAACCAGCCAACATGGAACACCCCGAATACCAAAGTCTATTTCACACACTGAGGATGAGCTTATATTTACAAAAAACAATGAAACTGAAAAGGTACAATGTTAAATATCTTGTCTTTGTATTGCCCACATACTGGAATTGAGTATATTGAATATAATATTGAATGTATTTAAGCATACACTCCCAGAAATAAAGGTATGAAACTGTCACTGGGGTGGTACCCTCAAGGGTACATCTCTGTGCCTTTAGTCAGGGAACATAATTGTACCATAATCCTTTGAAATTATATTTCCTATGTTGCATTGACTCCACACACCCCGTCTCGTCTCCAGGCTTTTTATTCTGTTGTTCTGTTTTAAAACATTAGGTTATGAAGAGGTACTAATATGTACTTTTCACCTGGGAAAAACGTATTTAAGGTACACTATTGGACCTTAAAACCACTGTTGTACCTTTGAGGGTACATTTACATTGCTTGTACCTTGACAAACAAAAAATGTACCTGAACAGAACCTTTATTTCTAACAGTGTACCACCATATTACATGTACTGCTATATTATTACCATGATTTAGTTACATGTTAAAGGGAAAATGCACTCAAGCACTATAAGGAGAGCAGCTGTAATTTGTTACTCTCACCTCTGCAGGTATGCGTGGGCCTGTAGGCACAGCATGTCTCTGCTGATTAATCTGTTCTTCTGAGCTGTAAGTTAACACGAACAGTAGCTCCTCCTTCAGGACCAGAACATCCTGCTACACCCCACTGGAAAACTGGTAGCGTTCTTTAAAAACATCACACGCTGTACTGTCCAAACTCCTAACCTGAGTAAACCTTGTTATGGTGATTTATGACCACTACAAGATAATGCATTTTTCTTTACAGCAACATAATGATTTATTAGTGTTTGTCTACTTATTAGTACTTGATAGCAGAGACAGCATTCTAGCACTGTATATGATGCAATAAATAACCTCACCACATTAAAATACTGCCAGCTATTTACTTTTCCATGACTACACGCAGACGTGTAGCCTAAAGCAGTGCTCTGATACTAAAGAGTTGCTTTCACATGTGTAATCTTAAACTTCTTCAGAGGCCGAGGCTCCAGCACTGCTAAAAAGCGCCTGTAGCGTGTTGCTAAAATTAGATTAGGGCTCGTAAGCAGTGAAAGGATACGACTGGCTGTGTGTTTTTTAAAAAAGCATCAGTAGTGGACAGATCCTCTTTCCATGCTTTCCATAACTCGATCCAGCGCATAAAGCTCAGCTGAAGCTATTGAGACCAGAGTGATGATATTTAATAATTAAGATTTAATACAAATTGGAGTTTCACTTCATTATATTTCAGATGTGAATGGAGCTCATAACTGAATTTGTTTACCACGACTTTGTACAGTGGCTGCCTGTAATGTGCACTATGACATCAGTATAACAGCCCAATTTGAGGCAGCTTTGGGATCTACAGTACTGCACCTACAATTCAATACAATACAACACAGTACCACTGAGGAGGTTAGATATGAGTTAATCATGGTGAAGAAGAAAGTCAAAGTGAAAAAAACAAGAGTTTCCAAACTAGAAGAAGAAAAATGGACCTGCTAACAACCACCTGAAATACCTAGTAGACCACCAAAACTACCCCCAGAGAATTTTTCCAAATGTCTGCATAGTTAAATCAATACAATCAATATGTAAACAGATTTGGCTCATTTTAAACTGGCAGGTACAAAAAGATACAGACACTCATAAAAATTGCAATATTAAAGACACTTAAAACAATAGAGGAG